TTCATTGAAGTAAAGAATAGTGCAGATAGTTTAATTCATTCTACAGAAAAATCGTTGCAGAAGTATGGTGATAAAGTTTCACCTGAAGAGAGATCTGTAATTGAAAGTGCCATTAATGAATTAAAACAAGCGCGTAAATCCGATAATATTGATTGCGTTGATTCAATGCAGCGGAAAGTTACTAACCTTTCTCAAGCTGCTATGAAGCTTGGAGAGGCAATGTATAATGCGTCACAACAAAATACTGCTGGCAGCGATTCTTCACCGACAAACAATGAAGAAGAAAAAGTAGTTGACTCTGATTATCAAGACATTGGTAATAAGGAAGAAAATAAATAGTATAATACCACTTTTTGTACAATGTCTTCACTTTATACGATGACTATAAGGTGAAGACATTGATCAGAGGTATCGTGTAGTGGGTAAAAAATTGAATAATATCCAGAAAGCAGTACTATCAGGCATAGTTTGTAACATGATAGTCTGGTATGAGTTAACTTTGTTTGGGTCTTTAACGCATATAATAAGTAGCACCTTTTTTGTATCTACAGCAGGTACAGTACACTTTCTTATCACTTTTGCAATCGGTTTTGGATTTAGGCCATTGGGTGCGTTAGTTTTCGGTTATGTTGGTGATAAGTATGGAAGAAAAAAGATTTTACTTACATCAGTAATATTAGTTTCGATGTCATCTGCTGCAATTGGAATCATGCCAAGCTTTAAAGATGTTGGAATTCTAGCTCCTATGCTATTATTATTATGCAGAATAACACAAGGAATAGCGGCGGGAGGAGAAACAAGTATCAATGCAACTTTTTTGATAGAACATTCAAGTGATAAAAAAAACTTAGGGTTTTTAGGTAGCATAAAAGCTTTCAGTGGTGCACTTGGTTCGGTTGTATGTTTTATAATGATAGCTATTTGTAAAGAATTTACAGGTGAAGATTTTGAAGTTTGGGGTTGGAAATTGCTTTTTTACTTCTGTTTTTTTATGGGAATAATAGGATTCTTGATGAGATACGTAATGAGCGAAAGTTCAGCATATAAAATACATAGTCAGAATAAAAGTTTATCCCGCTCTCCATTTTTGGAATTAATCCAAAGTTATAAGAGACCATTTATTATTGCAATAGGACTTAGTATTGCTCAAAATGCGATCGTCTACTCGATGATAATGTTTTATAACATATCTGTGAGGGAATTAAGTATATCAGGTATTGATATAAAAAATTTAGTGAGGATTATAAGTGATACCACATTTGGAACATGTGCAGTGTTATTTGCAATATTATCTGATAAAGTTGGAAGAAAAAATATGATGGTTCTTATTTTAATAATATTGGCTTTTGTGGGTCTTCCAGTACTTTCACTACTTTCCCATAGTAATTACTACATCATAGTGTTAACCTTTTCGCTATCTAGTATACCAATAGCTGCATCTTTTGGAATATACAATTCCCTTGTTTGTGAGCTATTTCCAACAAAAATTAGATGTACTGGTTTCTGTTTAGCAAACAATATATCCGCAGGAATTTTCGGTGGTATTTCCCCCTATATATGCACACTTCTTATAGAAAAAACAGGTACAAAACTTGCAGCAGGTACTTACCTTACTGCTTGTGCTTTAGTTAGCCTGATATCTGTACTGCAAATAAAAACTCAAGATAAAAAACTTGACTGGTAGTATAGTATCCAAGATAATAGTCCGAACGCGTTATACGAAAGTAGAATCAATGACTTAATGAAAAGATTTAAAAATAGGAGAGTTCTTTCTAGCTCTGTTTTTGATAGTAAACCAAAAAAAACCGCTATATTAGCGGTAGCCTTCGAAGGTCAGGGGTGTCACTATTTTTCCTTATTAAAGCTGAAATCATACTGAATTTTCCTGATTTAGTGCGTAAAACCTCTCTCTTTTTAACAATATCCGCATGGATAATTTTCTGTATTATCTATTCCAGATTTACTAATATANTAGGATATCTT